GTGCAATCCTGACTTGAGCATTGAGTAGAGTTCTAGAATACGACCCTTAGTGCTAAGAGGCTTTTATTAATAAGTGGAAATTTAAGGCGTCTTTCGAATGATGCGTGACCAATGAATAATCGTGCACTCAGGTAACGTTTATTAATAAAGTCATATTTTAATAGTCATCTTGCACTTGAGATGGATTTATTAATACGGGCCTTAAATAGGTAAGAGTTCTGTGAGAATTAGAACTACAGAAAGCGCAAAGTATGAGCGAAATAACTCAAGTCATTATTAAGATAAAATGCTATTCCCTGCTTGCCGTTTATCATTATCGCAATAGCCTAATTATATTTCTGTTTAATTGATAGGTCCTCCAGGGTAATAAAGTGAATTATTGAGCTTCGAGGCCGGAGTCCAGGAAGTCCTTCAGGTGAATGGGAACCTTCTTGGGCATGGCGCGGCAGATCTAAAAACAAAATCATAATTAAGTAATTATTTTAAAGTAAAGCAATCATTTCGACTTGATTTTTTTGTGAGACCAAGTGACGGGACAAACAAGTCATGCGCCTGTGGGTAAACGACACGCCTGTCCATAGCAGTTGCAGTGCCACTCAAAGCTTTAAGTTGCAAAGATTTGAGACGTAAGTTGACAAGTCTCATGTGCCTGTAATATCACCAGCACCCTTACCCTTCAAAACCGGAACACAATAATGGTGAGATTAAAAAATTACATAACCGTTTGGAGCGTTCGTTCAATGTCCGAGTTAGGACAAGATGAACTAACGAACTAGATGAATTAAATAAACTCGAAGACCGACCTAGTTCAGTAGCCTGATTGAACTAACTAGGATCGCTCCCTATAAGGACAGATCAGGCACAAGTCTAGTAGCCAAATATCAAAGTAATAAATAATATTAAATCCCTCTCTTGTAAAATTTGGTTTACCGCAGATACGCGCCTTATATCAATGCTACGTATGCGTATTTGCACTATCTCCGACGATATATTGGATAATTATCAGATCGACTCATCCGAAGAACAAAGTCCTTTGTGATTTTATATAACGAAAAGACAATAGGTACATTACGAGAATAATTTCGTTATTCAAACTAAGGCCCTTGTAAAGGTGTTTTGAGAATTTATGTACCTTATTTCTTTTCGGAAATATAAAATCAAACAACAGTCGATCTGACATCAACAGCGAAGAAGAACGAACGAAATGTACAATGTCCTGAGAACAAGTAGTTTTGCACATAGATCTTTGTTCTACGGATGAGTCGAGATAATTATTATGATTATCATCGAGAAAATAAATATTAATTTCGAACCCTAGTAATAAATGCATGCTGCACAGCGTTTCGAGCCGAAACTAGTTCAAGACACAATAAAAATTATAACAGAATTAAATGTTGATGTTGTAAGGTTGTAAAAATGACGCCACTCACCATGTTAATATAATAAAGCGAGCTAGGAATAGTGATTTCGGTGTAGTTCCTCCTAACAGCATCGACTATATTGTCTGCGGCCTCCTGTGCGGTGACGATCTTCATGAGCGACGGGAACTTGATCTTGGGGTTCTTACACAGCCCTGTGTCTACGATGTATGGGCAGATGCAAGTGAATTTTATCTGGAAGAAGATTTTCACGTTTCTAATAGAGTATATCCAAACATTGATTGCTTAGTAAGATAAGGATACATTTACAAAACAAATAAAACGAATGTAAAGGACACTAATATCTAAACTAAGTAAATAAGAGCACGTAATGATAGTCCGTGCCGTAGCTGGTAAATCTATTTTGTACTATAATATGTACTTAGAATATATACTTAGAATAAAAACGCATAGAATCATAGTTTCATATCAAACGAACTGTTACAAGTGAGGCAAAAATCAAATTCATGTAGGCTAGTTTTAGTAGTAGGTTAATTTTCGGTTTTAGTGAATATTTATAAAAAAATAATAATAATAATAGTTGAAACGCGTTACTTCCTTGTGGAATGTGATGTTAGTATCTATTTTATGTTTGTCTGACGTATTTTTACACTCATTTACTGCACATTTCGTCATTTTTAGCTAAAATTCTGGAGCTGTTCGCGGTACAAGTTGACCTTGAGCACTGAAGGCCCGCCCGCTCGTGTAGGCCCTTTGGGCGCGCTTCAATTTGCCTCACTTAGCATGTGCGGACTAGGTTTCTATGCGTTATTATTCTAAGTATATATATATATATGCTTAATAGCTGACCGACAACGAATTCTAGATGTTTACTTAGTTCTCCATAAAAGAAGCTAATATCGCAGCGGTCTACGATTTACTTTCGTTACTTGTAACAAAAAAAATATTACTACAAACAGAATAATGAAAATTTATTAAAATAAATAAAAATATAAACTATACGATGTTATGAAACACCATCTTATACAATACTACAAGTGCGACTATCATTTTTGAAATAAGATATTTCAAAATAAGATATTTATCTACACACATATCACAAACTCTCTATAATGTGTTCAGAAACCGCAAATTACGACCAGCATAAAGGTAAACTGTTTTGTTAGAACAAATTTCTTATCTGTGAAAATGTTATTATTGCTTCTTATTAACATTTTTCGAATTAAATTCGATGTTATTATTACATTCAAATTTCGAACATCTCTGAAAAACAAAACAATTTGATTGGACCTCAATTCTAATATCAGTCGAGATGAAGTTTTATTCGAAATGAAATGTCAATAGCAAACAATTTTGACAATTTCACACGTTACTTGATATCGAACGATATGATAGTTGGGGCCGATTCTAGTTTGACGGTGTGACATCCTTACATCGTCATCCCACCTTTTTGTATCGCCTCTCTCCATTCGTGCCGTATCGTTTTTCTTCTTCTACTCATATTTAAATTGAAAATTTTTAATTGTTCCATTTTACCTCGCATTCTGATTTTGTTTCGTTCAATCGTCACTCTCACCCGATCGCGGCCGAGAACACATTGTCTTCCTATTTTTTTGAACCGTTTACCACTTACTTAAATCTCTTGTACACCGTTTACATTTTAAGATATTAATATTGTTGTTGTACTGAATAAATTCCTATAAACCGGACTTTCGTCTTTTCAACTGCTAAAACTTGCTAAGTAAATATATGAAGGCTGCGGGGGCTGCGAAGGCTATTACTACCCTTGGACCAAGCTATATTACTGCTATCCAGGCTATTTTATACAGTCTATAGAATGCCACCAGCACCAGCAGCGCTATTACATGTCTGTGAATTAAAAATAAAAACTACGGTTGCGTGACAAAAGTTTTTATTTGCCGCCATTTCGCCAGTCGTAACATGCGGTTCCAGAACACATCACAGAGAGCTTATAATATGTATGTAGATAAGGCAGTGTATGTAACTGTACATTATTAGGCATTAAAACACTCGTGTGATGTTTTTATAAAACTCGCCTGTCGGCTCGTTTCTACAAAACCCACACTCATATTTTAATACCTTTCATTATATAGAAAACATTGTTTCAAGCATACTGCACACCAATGTACACTAGCGCTCTGTGGAAGAGTTACACTCAGTGCTCTCGGAATGCTCTGTGCGTGCAATACAACAACGCCTTCAGGACGCTGTTGGGGCTGTCACGCTTCTGCAGTGCCTCAGCCATGTTCACTGACGCGCGCGTAGATAGTTTTACGGCTGTTGTACGTAAAAAGTCGGCGTCGCTACTAAAGAGAATACGTGACAGCCCCAATAGCCTCCTGAAGACAGTTGCTGACAGGAATGAGTGCCCAATTATGCGACACTTAATACGTAATACACAATCTCTGGTAAAATATAAGTACTAATATAGTTTTAAGTCTGTACCTTCTAACATTTGATTGGATCTCAGTTGTCTCAATAAATAAAATTTTATTATTATTATTATTATTATTATTATTTTACATAACTTCACATAAATTACTATTTTCTACGATTTTCAAGGTTTTGCGCAAGATAATTGACACGACCATAACGTGCAAAGCGAAAATGGTGAACTGAGCTTGGAACTTCGCGTACTGTTGGCACACGTGCCATGCAAACTATGGTTGTATAAGTACCAGAGCAATGCAACTAACTCCGGGGAACTAACTACAACAACATAGACCTGAACCAACTCAATTTCCCCTAATAGCATTAGTTATGAAAGTATCTGAAGCATTGGAATTTATAGGACACTTATAACTTACACCACTGAAGTCTCTAGGATCCTCTCTAAGTTCCTCATGCAGCGCCTCCATCATTCCTCTTACAGCGAACTTGGTAGCGCAGTAGGGCACGAGGTTACGCAGACCCAGCACTCCCGCCATTGACGACATGGCTATGATGTGACCGTGATTGCGCTCCATCATGTTTGGGAGGAATGCTCGAAGCAGCTGGAAGTTACGGAACGATATTATCGATTACAAAATGAAACTATTTTTCGAATCTGAGTCGCGTCTATTTGCCTTTTCAAAACAAATCAACGTCCCAGCACTAAAAAAACAAATGAGTGGAATTCCCTGCCTGCGGACACATCCCCCGAACGCTATAACTTAGGACTTTTCAAGGCGAGAGTGCACGGTTACTATCCATCGTAGCCCCAAGTCTGATAATTGTAAATAAAATAATTCCACTAAAATTTAAGAGTAGTAAAAATTACATTAGGTTATAAGTAAACCAAGCCTCTGGAAACACGTGTGTGAAGTTCCAGTGCTTAAATGTATCACAGATGTGATACTCCCAGACCAACCGCATGAGGCTGTTGGAACTGTCACGCACACGCCGCATCAGGGAAGCAGTTCTCTTGCGTATTATCGCACTGAAGTTAATAACGCACTGCAAAAGCGTGGCAGTCCCAACAGCATCCTAAAACCATTATTGGACACGCAGGGCGTTGACCGTCTTTTTAGTGTAACTTGTAAGGCTGCACGTGTAAAAAGTTTGACAAAACGCCTTAAAGATAGTAGTTTTAACTTCCTTATCTTTTAAATGCCCTGCGTTCCCCCTCCATATCACCATCGTGAAGGATTTTGGTGACCCAGTGCCCAAGGTATTTAAAACGTGCCACACTTTGGCGCCGCACAGATGTACCGTGGGGATTGAGATGAGGGCTTTGTTACCTGCCTTAAACACCAATAATTGTCTTTTATCCGTGTTATACCTTAGGCCATGGGCCTTCGCATACACCTCACAATTTTTAAAAGTTTTACTATCGCACTCATCGATGGGCGCAGCAGCACCATATCGTTAGCGTATCTTATATTATTCAATTAAATTTGTATTGAATCGATATTCAATTATTTTTATGTGAAATTACCACACTAGTTTGTTATAATTATTAATACAAAGATCGAACACTTAGAAAGAAATCCTTCGATCTTCTAGCAAACCGTGGCAGACGCTATGCTAACTAAGTCACGACGATTTTTTAGCCGTAGCGCCATCTATGAAAAACTATTAAAGTATTTCGTCACTTAGGTTTTCACGATTGTTACACATAGGAAATGAAACTTTTTATCCGGATTTAAATCGCGTTTATTTGTTTTTTCAAACAAACCGACGTTTCTTAAGACTTAAGACTGCAGTACTGATTAATATGTTTTAGTTTATTCTAATTTCTATTATTAATTAATAATAAATTGAACTTAATAAAAATTCATTCAATAAAATAATTTGTAAAACTTAATATAGCGTAAATTGGAATGTTTTCTTTGTAAAATTAAAAATAAGGTATTTAATTAATAACTATTGTAACGATAGTGAAAATAATAGGGTGGTTAATCAATATTAGACATAACTGGTTGAAAACTGTTCCACCTCAGTCAACCGTGACCATGGGACCTGTAAGGGCCCGAAACGTCGGTTTGTTTGAAAAAACAAATATACGCGATTTAAATCCGGAAAAATAGTTTCATTTCCTATATTTCGTCACTTTTTTAAATTATTGAACTTATGCTAAACCTCTCTACTGGAAAGTTGTCATTATGCAAATGTGGCCAAAGGTGCGTCATATGACTACATATGAATGTTTTGCAGTGTTATTTCATCAACATTTAATCCTTTTACGACTGGACAGTCATGCACCAGGAAGAAAAAAGACGAGAAATCACAGTTACAATGAAAAATTTTACCCAGTGGTGCGCAAGGATGTTAATCTCAAACACGGTGCGAATTTCCTTCTCAGAGTGCTGCATGAGAGGCTTGCAAGGCATGATGCCCGCATTGTTCATCAGCATGGTGACGTCACCCACCTCCCTCCGGACCTTGTCCGCCATCGCGTCCACGGCCTCGGGGTCCGTCACGTCGCATCTGTTGAAGTAATACATCACATTAAGGAGTGATCCTTTGAAATAGAGAATGGTCGTTCGAGTCGGTTACATTCAGATATTCCGGAAGGTGAAAGAACGATGGTAGCCCAGTGGTCAACGGTTCGAATCCGACAGAATGTTTAGTAGCAATCATCAATAGTGAAGGGAAACATCGTAATGAAACCTGCATGTCGAACAAGGTTCACATGTTTACATCCCTTACGGTGGCCTGTGATTTCACGGATCATGCCTCGCCGGTTTGTATGGGCGTGCTCGCTGGCAAATCTTGGCCGCCTCGAGCCTACACCCTTGGTGGCGAGTACTCAGGGCCCTGATTTTAATTCTCGATGCGATCAAGTAGCCCATCCGCAATATTATACGACTCGACTCGGAAAAGACGCAGTTTCCGATCGGGAGAGGCAATCAAAATCAAGCTGCAGGAGTGTATAGTTATTTATATAGATTATTTATATAGTATAGTGTAGAGTTATGTGTATAGAGTAATAGTTATTTTTGATACAAGTGCGGAAAGGGCGAACAAGCGAATTTTGAAATTCATTATTATGCTATATTAAAATTCAATTTAGTATCATATTTATATGTAGAAATATTTAAAAAAATCCTCTGCAGTAATAGTTATTTTTGATACAAGTGCGGAAAGTTAGTTTTTTTGAAAATCATTATTATACTATATTAAAATTCCATTTAGTATCATATTTATATGTAGAAATATTTAAAAAATCTTCTGCAGTAATAGTTATTTTTGATACAAGTGCGGAAAGTGAGTTTTATTAGTTAATTAGGATTATTCACGAGTCTCGAGACTTCGTGGCCCGAGCCAGAGGCGAGGGTCAAGACTCGAGACAAGTGAAAATGACAAATCCGCACGTGTATCAAACGACGTTTTTTAATACATTTGCGAAAAAACTACATTGAAAGTAAAATAAAACAGTATTTAAAAAAAAGTTAATGAAAAAGGCGGGAATGTAAATGAAAAAAAGTTAGTTTTTTTTGGCCGACTTTTTTCAATACGGCAACTGTTGTCAGTATTCAGCCACATTAAAATTATTATTTTAGTGGCGCGGCGCGCAGCGGTCTCGCGTAATACTCACCTCCGGTCATTTTTATTACTCAATCAGCCATCTTTATGGAAAATATTTTGGTATTTTTAAATGTAACCCGTTGTTTTATAAAACACCGATGCAATTTAAACAAATAAGATAATAATATAACACATAAATATTAAATAAATATACAACCTCCTTAGTTCTATGTTTAAGACTTGAAACAACAGTAAATAAACAAAATGGAAAAGTAAAAAGCACTAGTGCGAAAAATCCAACTTTCGACACGATTTATAGTACGAAAAATACCACGTTTTGAGCAACTGTATTAAAAAATTTGTTTTTGTCGCTTACACTAAGCCGGCGGTAATGGCTCGATATGTCTCCAAAATCTCAATGAGTTTGACTAATTTGTATCCAAAATTGTTTCAAGCTACATGAGCAAACTCAACTCAACAGCGGTCGCTTAAAACAATATAAGTGTAAAATTTTACACAAACTAACCTATTTAAACAAATTACAGTCACAAGTCATATGCTTGCAGCTTTGAAATTTATAACGTGTAACTTCTAGCTAACGTTTGTTGTGTAAGCAGTATGGTAATACGCCATCAATACGCGAATTTAAGAAAATAAATATTTAAGTACATACGTAACTAAATTTTTAATGCTTTAATATTTGATAATGCGTCGTAAGAGCGAAGAAACGTGTCGTACAACTCGTAATGATCTAGTCACACAGAGTTCTTATACGGTTTGCCACATTGAAACTGGGTGGCAGAGCGGGGTGGCTCGGGGCCGAACGCAAAAGGGCAAAGCTTTATTCTATCGTGTTCTATCCGGACAGTGCGGGAACTGCGGGGTGCGGCCTAGGAGCGGGTTTTTAACGGGATTGTATTTTTTTTTACCACCATTTCAGTGTGTTTCTATTAATTTTCAGTATGACTTCAACCGAAAGTTCTTTTGCAGCAGTTTTCGTTCATCCGACAGCGATATGGTGCTTTCTTTAAAATCTAAGTAGAAAATGAAACGCGATTGCCTATGAGTGTCACACCAGTCACGTGTGGGACTGCCCCGGTACGTATTCGCTTGCCGCAGGTCACCCCTGGACCGCTTTTCCCGCTGTACCGCATCTGTGTGACTTGAGCTTGAGTGTCCTGAATAAACGCAAATCATGTAATTTATATTTGTCACTATAAATCCCTCTTTGGGCAACGTTTTGAGCTGAAAGTAGCTGGTGTAAAACTCAGTGTATGTTGTAGTGGTTTACAGGAAACAAGCCCATGTAATTTCTCTTCCTAAAAAATCAAACCCTTCTTCTTTCTTCCAGTACCGTACCCTATCTCCATACTTCCTGTATTGACCAAAATTGTTGAGTGCTATATACATAATCGACTTACAACCACCTACGTTGCGATATTTTCAACCATTTGCAGTCTGGTCTTCGAGCGGGCCATAACACGGTTTCTGCTCTGGAGAAAATCACTGATGATATTCATCTCAATATAGAAAATAAAAAAGTCCAATAACTTTACTCACGTTATTGAAATTCAGCAATGCATTCAGCACTATTGATTTAGATTTGCTTCTTGCTGTGCTCAAAACTTTAAACCTGCCTTTTATACTTGAATTCTGATTCCGTTCGTATCTGTTTGGTCGTTCCCAGCTCGTAAAGACCAGTGACATGCACTCGGACTAGTGTCCTTATAGGTGGGGTTCCGCAAGGTGGGGTTTTATCTCCTATACTTTATTCTGTCTTTATCCGTGGAGTTACATCATCACTCAGTTCTTCTTTCTCTCTATCTCTATGCCGATGACCTTCAAATGTATACTGCAACCAGTCTTGAGGATGTAATTTCAGCTATCGGCACATTGAATGCCGACCTACAAACAGTTTCGGTGTTGACAAAGAACTATGGATTTCTTTTAAATGCACAAAAGTCTCAAGCCATACTTATTGGCAGTCGCCATTTCATCACCAAGTTGGAGTCTATGGTGATACCCAATTTAGCTGTGAATGACACCATAATTCCTTTTTCCAGAGCAGGTAAAAATGTGGGCACCCGCCGACGATCTAACTCGTAAGATTTTTACATCACTTCATTCCCAATCATGAATTCAAGCGGCTGCAGTACTTTCTTCCTCTGTCTACCAAATTTATGCTCATACGCACTCTTCTTTTTCCTCTTCAAGATTATGGTGACGTCGCCTGTCTTGATATTTCGGAGGACCTGCTTAAAAAATTGGAGCGGCTGCAAAATCAGTGTATCAGATTTGTGTTTGGATTGAAAAAGTACGACCATATTTACAAGTTTAGAGATGAGTCGAAGTTATTGCCTATTCGTTGTTTACGTAGAAATGCTCACGTCTTGTGCATCTACAAAATCCTTTTCCATCCACTTCCCCTAACTATCTTCGTGAGCATTTTCTATACCGTCAGATAACCGCCTGTTGTTATTGGTTGCAGGTTGGGTGACCGTCTGCGTTCCGGTACCAATTTGTCCCTCGTCATTCCAGAACACACTTTGTAAAATATTCGGACTCGTTCACAGTGAATGCTGCTCGTATGTTGTACCTTCTCCTAGTCGAGATCAGACAGTCACCTTGGCTTTCAAATGTGCTCTTTTTCAAGATGGCAGCACGCTGAATAAAATTTCAATATTAAATGTTTATGTTCTACTGTGTTTCGACTCATTCGAAGAACAGAGTCCGATGTGATTATATAGCGAAAAGAGAATAAGTACGTTACGAGAATAATTTCCTTATTTAAACTAAGGCCTACGTAAAGGTGTTTTGAGAATTTATATAGGTTCCTTATTTCATTTCGGAAATATAAAATCGAGCAACGGTCGGTCTGACATCCACAGCGAAGAAGAACGAACGAAATGTACTATGTCCTGAGAACGAGTAGTCTTGCACATAGATCTTTGTTCTACGTACGAGCCGATTTATTATTTTGTGCTTATAACGCCCCTGTTTGATTCACGGGGTTTGAGAAACATGTTACATCTACTTTAGTGTGAAGAGCATGTGAATAAATGTTCAATACGTTTAAGTGCCCAATATTTGGCCAGACACATCGAAATTAACACTTATTTCACTACCTGTCCATGTTTACACAATCTGAGTTTTCACAAGTAAATAAGATAATGAATTATTAATTACATTTACGCTGTATGGCCTCAAAATTGTTTGTTGCTAATGGTGTAGCTGTTTTTATATTTTCTTACGTCGTGGTATGTCTTATGTCAGATACGGCTATTAGTGAGCAAGGGATGAATTATTGAATTTGAAACCAAAATAATTTCAAAAGCCGTAGAGCTTCTTGACAAAGAGTTCGTTCAAGGAAGTATTGCCACCTTACCTATTCTATATAACTATTTCTGCGCCAAGCAGTAATTTTAATTTATTATTTTAAAATTACAAAAAAAATTATATTAATAATAAGTTATATTAATTAAGTTTAAAAATTACTGCGTTCCGGTTTTGAAAGGTAAGGGTGCCACTCTGGAACTGGGCGACTTATGTCTCACGGTGACGTGCGCAGTGGCAATCTCTCAGAACCTCTCAGATCTTTCAGATTTCTCAGCGACCTAAAACTCTGAGTGGCACTGCAGCTGCTAAGGACAGGCGTGTCACTTACGTCTGGTAAAGATGCAACTTGACGATAGACTCAAGAAACACAGCCGTAAATCACTTACTCATATTTGAAGGCTTTGCCCTTTTCGGCCTTGATGAGATCAACAGTTTCCTGATTGCCTTTAGGGTTGATATCTACGCAGACAATCTTGCCGCCTAGTCTGCCAAACCTCAGAGCCACCTCTCTGCCCATACCGTGCCCGGCGCCTGTGATCTGAAAACGTGAAAGAAACAGATCAACATCCGAAATCAATAACTGAACGCCTTTCGCGCTGCAATTACCATTATTCGAGCCGGCTTCAATTTTTTTTTATAGATTTCGATCGTATTTCAATCTACTTAGAAAAAAACTGTTATCTGAAAGCCGATACGCTTTTTTATGACACCAAGAGACAGTTCTTTGGGGTATTTTGAAATCGAAGTTTATGCCAACAAAACCATGACCATCCACCGCCTTGAAGGCGGAAATTGAGGACTGTTGTCAACGTGATTCAGCCACAATTATGTAAAACGGTCATCGAAAATTTCATAAAAAGTGCGAATATGCCAACAAAGCCGTGGAGGCCATTTACCCGACATGCTTTACTTAACTGCCTCTGTGGCCGAACGGTTACCATGCCGGACTGCCACGCAGAGGTCCCAGGTTCGATTCCCGGGCCGGCAGAAATATTTGTAGGGCCTACATTTATTTCTCTCGTGAGTTTGGGTGTAATTTGTGGTTGTCTGTGTGTGTGTGTCCATGGCACCCGCGACACAGGGTTTCCCTAGTGCGGGGCTTTGTTGTGTGTGTGCGTTATTATTATTATTACGTAACCATTAATCATAAACCTGTGTTTCCTATTAATACGTTAATTCTTGCGTGAATTTTGGGACACCTTTTATTAACAAAGTTTTTATTGTTATGGTACCTACTTACTACTAAATGATTCGCATTTTGTAATTCCATCACAATAAAGATTTTATTATGGAACTAATCACCTCTGTCGGCTCCTAGTCAGTATCGTATTTTATTTAGTGGTTCTGAGTACCAGTTAACATTTTTTGGGTCAACAACATTCAATAACGCAATTAAATTACCTACATTATTTAGTTACTATAAAATGTCAGAGTTAGCCACTTAGCAACACCAGAAATGTTATCGGACTTTTTAAAGTTGTTCATTAACAAACAACCTTTAGTTATCGAGTTCTTAGATTTTCGCGATTGTTACACATAGGAAATTAAACTATTTTTAACCGACTTCCAAAAAAAGGAGGAGGTTATGAATTCGACTGTATTTTTTTTGTGTCTGTATGTTACGCGATGACTCCGGCATTGGTGAACCGATTTCAATGATTCTTTTTTTATTGGAAAGAGGGTACCTCAGTATTGGTCCCATTTAAACGTAAAGAAAATATTCCAGCTTTAAAGGCGGCAAACTAAAGGATGAATCCGGTTTCGCGCACTTTCCGGTAACCGATTTAAATAAAATTTGGCGAATGGATGTGTTTCCACGAACTTTTGTGGTCGGTTTTTTATTAAAAAAATTTTTACGGATCTAAATTACGTATATTTGTTTTTTCAAACACAGTCTTTTACACAAGGGCCGTACCATGAACTCAGTATAGCTTATTACAATTCAGTATAGCTTTGTAACGACAAAATATACATTTCATGTAGCGCTATCTCACAGCGTTTCCTTTTTGCCCTTAAACTGAACCGTAATAAGAGTTCATGGTAAGGCCCTTGGTCCTTACTAACTACCAGTCAACCGTGGCCTTACGACCTGTAAAGGTTCCGAAAGGTTGGTTTGTTCCAAAAAACAAATGTACGCAACTTAGATCTGGTAGGTAGCTGGAAAAATACTCACAAGTATAATTTCTTCTTCAACGCTCTTCGGTTCAGGAGGAACTATAAGCTCGTACAAAGCCTGAATCCATGTAAACTGCATCTTCAAGATGAGCAATATGACCTCCACGAACACCACAAAGCCCTGGTAGATCTTTATAGCGATGCCTTGCTCGTCCGTCCTGAAAAAATACCGTTTAAAAATTAATACGGATTTAAACATAGAAGCACAATCGTATTTACGACTGTTTCTTGACCCGTCAGGCAACATCTTGACCCCCATAAAAGGATTATAGTCTGTGTTGTCATGGCGGGCAAACAAACGTCTCTTTTTCGCTCTTAACATAAAGGTTTTTCTGACTGAGCAATTTAATATTGCAATTCGACAAGTGTGGCTATTTAGGGACATGACAATAGTTATTAGTACCTACTTCCATACTCATTAGAATCGCAAGTTGCTCAAACGTGTCTTCACGAATAGAAACAATTTTTTTTTCTAAATAAGCAACCTACGTAACGTACACAGCTAAAGGTTAAGTTACGCAAACTGTTATATTATTTGAAAAGTTTGAACGCTATTGAGATGGTTTGGGCACATGTGCAGTGGATGAATGATAGTAAAATGGTGAAAGAGACTTATAGATCCAACGTGGAATGCAACATTGGAATTTGTCACAAGAGACATTTTTATATCAAATCCAGAAGATTCTTAAAAAGGCTGGAGTGTGTAATGAGAAGAAAAATGCTTGTATGAAAAGATTGGTAAATGTAAGTGAAGCAAGAGACGTTTGCCTGGATCTTACACAGTGGCGATGTTATAAGCTCAGTCTACCCCAATGGGAATCTAAAGTATTTAGTATTATAATACGCTGTCGTTGTCACAATTTTCAACAAAAAATTTCACGGACTGTGTGTCTCATCTCCTTTACCACGACTGGACATTGTGTCATTAGTACTATTTGAACGGAAAAAAAGTTATTTTTTAACCGATTTTGATGATTCTTCTTTTGTTGGACAGGGGAGGGGGAAGGTGTACTAGATGATCCCCTTAAGGGAGAATGGTGGTAGTTTAAAAGATATTCAGCTTAAAGTAGATGAAAAAGCGTTGAATTATAGAAAATTTATCTATTTACTCGTTGTCTTACTAAAAAAGTTTTATTTTTTGATCTTTCATTATTTCAAGGTTGCCTGGCAGAGACTGCTATTTAGCAATAAGGCCGCCTGTTGTACACTGTATTTTTGATTGTTTTGTATTTTTGCTTGTTTATTGTGCAATAAAGAATATTGAATTGAATTGAATTATATTTGAATATTTTTAAAACCCTACTAAAGGATCGTCTTGGACACCGGGGTGTCCAAGATGATCCTCAGGGTATGGGCAAGCCCCTATGTAGGTTTTGGTAGAAACAAATGAAAACAACAACTTTTTCGACTTAACAAAGTCCTCAAAAGAAGGCGGTAATAAAATAAGGTATATATATTTAATACGAAATTGTTTTCTGTTCTTCCTATTTTGTATTTTTAGAATCATCTTCGCGAAAATAAGTTCTAGAGAGATGAGAAAGTACAATAATGTTGATATTCCGTCTAATTTGAAACAAGAAGCATTTCGATCGAGATCGAAGGAAATTTTTTCTAAGTGTTCGATCTTCGTATTAATAATTATAACAAACTAGTGGAGTAATTTCACAAAAAATAATTGAATATCCACTCAATACAAATTTAATTACAAGAAGCATTTGTTGGAATTAATTATTTTTTACTTTTTCTTTTATTCATTTATTTCATTCTTTAGTCTTTTATTATTTCCTCGCATTGCTTGACTAAAGCACTTTATGTACATATATCGATATATACCTTGGCGGGAACGAGGATTAAATTATCTGACTCATAACCTTGAAACTCATACTCGTCCGGTAATCCTTTACTTCTCGGCCGTGCAATTTAATGTATATAATAATAATATACATATAACAAAGTTCGTTCGTTCAAAAAGAGACAGTGGCAATACAAACTATATTATACACAAATTGCTTATTGGCTTCTACCATAGAGAAGAGCGTCAAAAGTACAGTTTCAGTCAATAAAAATTTAAAGTACGTGACAATATAGCTCGACTTTGAATTTCATGTTTTACATTTGTGATGTAAATAGCGGATTTTCGTCAAGACTGTATCTTTCAATGTGTGTAAAATTAATTAAATGTATAAACGCCAAGTGCATAGCGCATTATGTATTAAAGAGTCGTTGTACATATTCCAACAAAAGGAACACACTTATAACGATATATAAAAACCTATTACCTCTTATTAAGTTATTATCTTTTTATCATAAAAACTATATAGGTATGTATAGGAAAATCCCAAAGGATTTTGTTGCTTTGTGAGAACAAATTCTCACAAAGCAAACAAAAATACGTAATAAAAATAATTAGCTATTTGTATTGAACTGTAATGGCCTTGATTATAGCAATTAAAAATGTTTTCAGAAACATTTATTGTATGAACCGACTAAATAAAAGTGTCAAGACATGCAATTTCATTCGATAATTTCGAACCGACTTCAAAAAAAAGGTAGAGGTTCTCAATTCGACTGTGTTTTTTTAACATATGTTGGGCGATATCTCCAGCAGTCATTTGTGAACCGATTTTGATGATTCTTTTTATGTTGGAAAGAGAGTACCGTAGTAGTGGTCCCATTTAAATTTGAAGCAAATATTCCACCTCTAAGGGTGGCAAAATAGGGAATGACTTTTCAGATCGGATTTTTTAGTACTCTGTACAGAGATTATTATTTATTCTCCTGGCTTTTATTCAAGTCATGCATACAACGTCTTAAAATTACAGTAATTAATATTCAGTTAAAACGTACTACAATTTAAATGTCCATAAGTTACAATTAAACACACATTTTAGAAGATTTTTTTTTAGTAGCAATAGTGCACCTTGTGAAAAAGTTCGTCTAGGGTAGTACTGCCACCCTACCTATTTCTGCCGCCAAGCAGTAATGTCAGCCTTACTGCATTCCGGTTTTGAAGGGTAAGGGTGCTGGTGAAACTTCAGGCACATGAGACGGGCGCAGTGACAGTGCCTCTCAGAATGTGCGAATTAAAGCTCTGAGTGGCACTGATACTGTTATAGACAGGCGTGACACAAGGCGTACAGGTTGACTCAAGATGTTTCCCTTTTTTTGAAAAGCTCATGGTAAATATAAAATTTAATTTCGCACATAACACATTCCTAAACACTGTGAAGTGCAAGCCCGGATTCGAACCCACTAGAGAGATGGTAGGTCAAACTATAAGGCAACCATGGCTATATTATTATAATATATAAGCACGCGGACACGATCGAGCTATTAATTAATCAAATATTCAACATCGTGTGCCATCCAAATATTGGTCAAGGAAGCGGAAATACTCTGTACAAAATTCGTGGATCACACCAAGCCTACATATACAGGAAAATTCATTATAGATCTAGGATTGTCGCCAGATTGTACACGGAAATGTTATAGACCAACCAGTGTCTAGTGGTAATTGCGTGCTCTGTTGATTACTTTGACTTGACCTTCATATCTCCGTACACTACGCGCGGCGAGTGAACGACGTACGTGACAGTATTGTTTTACATTTTATTGTTATATAAAACTTACAGTTAAATTTTAGTACACATTAAAATTACAAAGTACTAATTAATAGTCGACAATAGTGAACAGTAAACAGTAGTCGCTTTCTGTAGAGAAATTAGAGATGTGGCTTCACCGGTGGACTTTAAAGTTACATTAAAGAGGTCGTGTTTTATAATAAAATAGCTTGTTTTGTAAGTCTGAAGTTTCAATTTTAAGTAGGTTAGTTTATGAAGAAAAACAATTTTATGATTTAAAAGAGTTTTTATAATGATTTTTTAATGATAAGTATAAATAAACACTGTGATGTGGTATTTATGTATAAATTAATGTAAATGTACTTAATGCAATTAAATGTTTGTAATATTCATGATTTTTGAATGCAATAAACATAACTTGTAATGTAATGCAGCGTAATGTTGTCTGTCATTGTAAATTTTGAATAAGGTAAATATTGACTTCTATTGTGCTTGTATCTTATAACATTGTTATAAATAAATGATTTCGTTTCATTCTTATGTTCATTCATTTCCGACGTAGGAAGATACCGCCTCTCTGCTAATTTCAACGTCAAGCAGTGATTCCAATTAATACGAACGCAATCTTCATAAATTACTTGTTCAAAAGGCCAATTCCATTACACTTGGTGCATTTTTTTGTGTTGTGGTGGATTTTTTCCATTTTTCCACACCGTCATTGGTTGGGTGGTACGAGTGGTAATACACACATATCTACATAATATCACATACAAACTTCAAACGTCATTTTACCCTTATTTTACCCCAGAAACGTTAAGAGGAAATTACATAGTCAAATAAAAGCATTTTGTAAATTTCGACATAATCCGTTTTACAACAAATATTTACTTGTATAAGTATATCATTTCCCCCTCGTTTTCGTGCGTTAATGGGGTTTTTGTCTTTTAACAAATGAAACTAAATAGGACTATGTATCAAACACACATAATATATTATAGAAAACCATATGTGTTATTCAGTCTCCGATTGTATTAGACTCTGGTGCGTCCCCATCTTTCTTCAGATTCTGGAAGAAAGATGGGAAAGCGTTTTCGGTTATTCTGGAATTCCGAATAACCAAATCGAACAAATAATAAATACATACAACAAACACTTGCATAAAGAAAACAATGCCATACCTACGTCACTAGAGGTCACTAGTCAATCATTTAATCAAATAAGACTCTTGAGTTCGCAAAACGTTCACGTTGCAGTGAATGGGTCCAGATCATAGTTACTTACAAACTGCAAAGATATTCCGTAGTATATAAGCACTAATAGATAGATGTTAAATTTGAATGAAACAGGCAGTAATACGTCTTATCATAAGTTAGAACTCATTGTTCGCCAGTTAAAATATCACATATAATTTATTATTGTTATTTCTCATAATGGATATGATAATCCAAGTCATTAAAAACATGCTATGTATATAAAAAGAATTAATATATAAGACATTTAACAAGATGACCTTGCTCTCAGTTTGAGTATAATATCATTGGTTTGCGTGGTCAAATATGGACCACTTTATAAAAACT